GCTCTGTTCTGACAACTGCCTCCTGGTCCAAGTATAAGTTTCGCATTAGAACGATCAAGTGTTCTGGGATTCCCATTCTTCTCAGAGTCAGCCACAGTTTGTTATGATCTACACAGTCAAATACCTTTGCATAGTCAATGAAACACAGATAGACATTCCTCTGGTATTCCCTGCTTTCAGCCAAGATCCATCTAACATCAGCTACAATATCTCTAGTACCACGACCCCTTCTGAAACCAGCCTGGACTTCTGGTAGTTCTCTGTTGATGTGCTGTTCCAGTCGTTTTTGGATAATTTTCAGTAAAATCTTGCTTGCATGTGAAATCAGTGAAATTGTTCTGTAGTTTCCACATTCGGTCGGGTCGCCTTTCTTTGGGATTTAATAATTTTCTTTTCCATCTCTCTACTGCTGTGGGATAATCCATACTGCTATCTGGACAAAGAGAGAGCTCTAGTGGCTTGGTGTAAGGAATCGCGCTGCCAATGCAAAGGTACACGGTTTGAATCTACTGTCTGCTCTGAGGAAGAAAGATGGCCAGTTTCTTCCTGATTTACTGCCTCTAAAAACCCACTGGAGCGTCAGTTATGGGTCTGTTCTGACTCAGTGGTATACAATAATAATAATAACAACATATGGATAAATAGCAAAAGTAATATTGGTGCCAGAGTTGGAAGAGAACTTAATCCAAAAAAAACTTACTGGAAGGAGATTTATGGCTGGGAGAGCAAGAACTTTTTTGTGGTTCCCTCTTAGTGAAAGAAGACATATTTACAAGCAATGATCACGTTTCAGAGCAACATCATTAACAAGACAGCATTCTAGCAAACAGGGGGCATTCTCTAGAGAGTTGTGCACAGTCCATGATGCGAAAGTGGCTTAATTGAGATGTGTATCCAGTTGAAATAAAAGCTAGAATGTCTCACCATTTTTTCTGAATTGGATCTGTTAGGGCCCCAGGTAGAAAATGAGAACAATATATGGCTACAGCAATTGGAAAGAATGTGACAGGGGGCTCATTTGCTGATTTGTCCTCATTTCTTACTGAGTTGCTTAATTTGGCCATCATTCAGTCTCCAAGTCCCTGCTGTGTTCAGGCTCCTGCCTTCTTTTCTTCTGTTTCTGGGTGGGTATTGTGCCAGGACAGCGAGCACATCCAGCTTTCCTGGTGAACCTGACATGTTCATCGTGGCGTTTCCTCCTTCCATGCCTGGGCTGCTGACATGTACGTCCTGGTGTTTGCTCCTTCCATGACTGGGCTGTGTAGCAGGGGTGTTGGGTACTTCATGCTGTATGTGGGCCTGGCTGCCCAACAGCCTGGCTTCTCGGTAACAGTGAATTTGGCAAGGATGCCTTAAAATCAACAGTCACAAGTTTTCCCTAAGAAAAGGGGTCTATTAAAAAAAAAGAAAAAAAGGCAAAGGCATGTTAAGTAAGAAAGGAGGGGAGGCCTAGGGCTGTGATGGAGAACTAGGTCAGGGGCTGGAACTATACACTGAGTAAGCAGTTTTAAAATAATAATAATAATAATTTACAAAGAAATGGCCTGGAGGGAGATATTGAGCAAGTGGCTCCTGTTGGGCGCCTGTAAGGCTCCAAGATGTTCCCTTGGAGCCACTGAAGCTGGGAGCTCCATGGAGCAGGATCTGCTCTGGGTGAATGTGCTGGTAGGGGCCAGTACAGCGACCAGGCACCAGCGCTGGCGAGCCTTTGCTTTTGAGACTGCCCTGCTCAACAGCTTTTCTCCAGCCTCTTGTTGATTGTCCTCTCTCTGTTGATATTATTGCATCTCTTTAGAGTTTCACTTCCTTGAGCAGCTGGAACGCAGCAGCAGGGGCTGGAAGAGAAGTTTTAGCTTGTTTGTTTTAACGTCTTTTTTTATGGGTTTTTTTTAAGACCTTCAATCAAATAGGGTGAGGTAAAAGAAGGAAGGAGAAAAATAGTTGAAGGAAAAGTTTATACACAAACAGAAGCAATTGTGGAGGATTGACAGGCAGGGGCAGGAGGGGAGGAAGAGGGAGCAGAAATTAGTGAACAGATGTGTAAGGCGAGTGTACAGTGAGGTTTCAATAGGATATTGTAACTAATGGCATTATATAATAGCGATTATTAGTATATAAAAGACAATTTATAGAAGCAATTGAAGTAAAACCAATAATAGACAAAATCTCAAAACTCAAATCCTTGTTTTTCATTCTAGGCCAGTGTGAGTCAGATACTACAAGGGTTTGACAGTTCTGCCTGATGCTCTGAGTCTGCAGAAGGAGACATGAATGCCACTGACCTGGGAGGGAAACCCCCACCCAGGGATGAGACAGAAACTTGAGAAGGCTTCCCAGATGGGAAGGCTGTACAGACTCTGAAGGAATAACACTGAAACTCACATGCACGTGTCAGGGAAACCCGTTCCTCCAGACCAAAACCCTGCAGAGGAGATTTTGGAATCACAGGCTTGTTTCTTCTCTACAGAGGTTCATCATCACAGCTCTTTGTCACCCAGGAGGTCTGTGATGTCGTTCTCAGGAAAGTGCCTGTAGTGCTAAGGCAGGGCAGGGGGGACAAACTGATTTTGGACTGGGAGAATTTGGGGTGAGTATACACATCTGGAGGAGTTTATTTCCCATTGTCGAACCAGCTAATCATTCTTTGGAAAACTGAGGGCTCACACTCTACCAGGATGACCAGACATCGTGGGTATTATAATTGATGTTATGGGACAAACTAAGCAAAATTATTGACAAAAATTATGCAATTTTACCCAAATGACAATTTTTTTAAAAGGCAGTGAAAAAAGCTTATTGAGGTCATGCAATAGGGAAAAATAAAGGCATATGAAATAAAAATATGTTAGAGGATATCCAAGTTGTGTTAATACTACATGCCACACTTAGAGAAGGCTCTTCCTCTTCAACTTGACTTTCAAATACTGGCTTCTGGGTCTAAACATGAAGAGGAAAGAAAGGGAGACCAGCAAGAAGACAGAATTATAGCGCAATAAATTGTGCCGGCTGAACACTCCTCATAAGCCTGAGGCAAAGTTGATGCTCAGTAAATGCTCCTTCTTCTCTTTCTCCTTGGAATTAAGACCCCCAGAAGCTGGCATGGCCTCAGCACAGTCATCGCAGAGGGCGTTGCTCAGATATCTATAGATAAGAGTGCATTTGACTTTGCATTAAAATGCTCTCCAAAGCTTTTTGACTTTATGATATATTTGCATGTGTGTAATTAAAGCAAATGCGGGCGGAGGGGGGAGCACCATCCCAAGCCCAAGGAGTCACATACATTTGCTTCCTTCAGCATTCACTTCTCCCACTAAAGTATCTTGAAGAGCTCCCCATTCTTCACTCTAATTCTCACCCCTGCTGTACAGCTACTTCACTGGATGAAAATTTGGGATGTAGGAGATGCAAGAAAGCAAATAACATTTGCTGAGTGTCTGTAATTAAGTAGGCACTATGTTTGGCATATTGTATATGTAATTTCATTTGGCTTAAAGAGTAGCTATATATTTTTACAAAACTATTCCTTTTTCACGGATAAACTGTGGCTCAAAGAAGATCAGCCATTACTAAAGCTCATTTAAACTAGAATAAAATTAGGACTTAAACTCAGTTTATGGTTTTATATTTTTATGCTAGCTTTGTACATGCATCTGGGAAATTTGAAATTTTAAGCTAATTTAATAGTATTTGTATAGAGTAGATGGTCATAGCCATCAGTAGAAAGAATAACATGATTAAGTGAAAGAAAAAGGAAAACTCTTTGCTCTGCTCCAAACAATAATGATGCTTTGTTATTGTTGTTCTTCATGGTTTTTAAAGCACTTCATGCCAATTTTCCACTTTATAGAGAAGAATATGGAAACTCTGAGTTTGATTCACAGTCAGTAAATGCCAAAATGAAGACTTAAACTCAGAACTTCTGACTTCATTTTCACTGCTGACATTTCATTGTCACTTTCCCACAGATAGTCTCAGGGAGAAAGAAGGGCATGAGGCTGGGCTTTGTGTAAGTGCTCTTTGCATAGGGTGATTCTGGCCAGACGTCATAGAGCTTTGGAGGGCACCCACTTCACTGTCAGCGCAGACCCTTCTCCGTTCAGAGGAATCACGGAACACCACAGGATTACTAGCTGACTGAATAATCAGTGTAAGCCTGATCTTAGATTTTTGCAGTCTTTGACGGCAACCTTTTGTTGGTTGTCTACATCACACAAACCCAGGAACCAGGGAACTTCTCTGAAATACCTGCAACTCTGAATTTTCAGGTGGAAAACTGACCATGTTGAAGGCTGTAAAAATTGGTTAAAAGAGGGAAAACTCTCATTTACTCAATGCCTGGCTTTTATGCATACCTGGTGTTCCATGGAAAATGACAATTTGTTGCCAGAATCCTAGACCAAGTTCTTTCTTGTCTAGTTCTCTATATCACATTCATTCTCTATAATGCCTTCCTTCCACTCAGTGAACTTCTTTTTAGGGTAGAGGGACAAGGAGAACTCTGAGGTGGGCATTGAGGAGCTTCCCCAGTCTCTAAGCTTGCCAGGCCCCTCCATGCCCCTCCATCAGTTCTACCAGAGGGGCAAGACTACGCAGGTCTGAATGGTACCTCCCTGGGATCGTCGAGGACAGAGAACAAGATTCTGCAGAAGGTCTTTTTCAGATTGAGAAACCCCAATCCTGATCTCCTCTTCTGATGATTTTACAAAAATCAAAGTGCGTGACAGATTCCCAGATAAACAAGAGAAGTTTGCAATCAAAGCAGGTTCTAGGATGGAGCTGATGAGTAGATTTTTAATAGCTATTAGCTTGATAATCACTCGCCAGGAGTAGCTTCCAGGCAGACCAACCCCATGCATAAGTGCACCCACACCCATCCACACCAACACCTACTCGACAGGTATATAAGGGGACCCTGACAGTCTCCCAAGCAGTTGAGTTGAGTCTCCTTAGCCTTAACTCTTCTCAGGAACTATCAACTTTGCTCACCGGGCCAGGCCATCATGAGTTGTCAGAGCTCCTGCAAATCTCGTGGGAGAGGAGGAGGTGGCGGAGGCTTTCGAGGCTTTAGCAGCGGCTCGGCCGTGGTTTCCGGAGGGAGCCGAAGATCGGGCTCGGGCTTCTCCTGCATCAGCCGCCACGGTGGCGGCGGCGGGGGCTCCGGCGGAGGTGGCTTTGGCAGTCGGAGTCTTGTTGGCCTTGGAGGATCTAAGAGCATCTCCATGAGCGTGGCTGGAGGAGGTGGACGCTTCGGAGGATTTGGTGGCAGAGGAAGCGGCTTTGGAGGCGGCAGTGGCTTTGGAGGAGGCAGTGGCTTTGGAGGCGGCAGTGGCTTCGGAGGCGGCAGTGGCTTTGGAGGCGGCGGTGGCTTCGGACGTGGTGGTGGCTTCGGAGGCGGCAGCAGCCTTGGCGGCGGCAGTGGCTTCAGCGGTGGCGGTTTTGGCGGAGGCCGCTTTGGAGGTGGTGGTGGTGGCTTTGGGGGACCTGGTGGCTTCGGGGGACCTGGTGGCTTCGGGCCTGGAGGATTTCCTGGTGGAGGCATCCACGAAGTGTCCATCAATCAAAGTCTCCTGCAGCCTCTCAACGTGAAGATCGATCCGGAGATTCAGAATGTCAAGTCCCAGGAGCGGGAGCAGATCAAAACACTCAACAACAAATTTGCCTCCTTCATTGACAAGGTGAGTCAGTTGAAACGGACTCCTGTTACGACTATTGTTGTGTACCGTCAAGTCGGACCCCCGCCCCTACTAACTGAGCGTCCAGTGGGGTTTTCTGAGACAGTAAATCATTCGAACCTGCTGCGTTTGGGATTACAGTGCAGTTTCTCACCACTCGGTTATCAGAGCTCCCTGTTACTGCTAGTGCTGTTCAAAAAGAGAGTAAAGTAGATTCGTTTCATTTAGGAACCTCTGGCCTACCAGTAGTGCGTTATCCTGAGTTCTTTACAAATCCCAGTGAGAGAGATGCTGGACTCCTTTCTGCAATGCTTGGCAGTTAGGGATTATTTTGCACTCTTGACTTGCAAGCAAATAATTAAATAAGAAAAAAAAAATTCTCAATAGTTAGACTTCAGTTAAGTCTAAAAGTAAGAAAAATATGAAATCTATGAAAATATGAAAGCTGATATTGACAAGTGATGGACAGACCAGCTCCTACTGTATGACAGCTGGTTTCGGAAGGAATTGATGATGTATCTTTTCTGAGACAGTCTTTTCTAGAAGTCATCACCGAATTAGATTCTGAGCTTAGTATGTCTACATGGGGAGGAATAAAATTTCTGCCTTTGAGAGCAGCATTCTCAGTTTTGTGTCTGTAAAGTCTTGATGGCTGTCACTTTATAGAGTGTTGCTGGGTTTGCTCCTATTTCAAGGCAGGTGGACTTGTTTAAGGAATTTATAAGCTCTTAAAAAGCGGGCTGAGGAAGCCTGCCCTGCAGTATTCTCATATTCAGCATCCCTAGGAGAAGTGCCAGCAAATGCCTGCTTTTGGTTTTCCCCAGATTTTACAGGCCCTTTGCCGGGAATTTAGCTCAGATCAGCGAAGAAAATGGCCTGGAGTCTTGGGAGCAGCTGCACAAGAAACAGTGGCTGGTGGAGCAGGATAGGAGGCTGTGAGAAGGAGCTGAATGTAGCATTGAGTCTAGAACTTTGCAAGTGTGCATGGCTCCAGCTGGTCAACATGTAGCCTTACCGATTTTCTAATTAACAAAGCCAGAGCAGCACTGACTCCGGGGACTGCACTGATGGGTGCTCCACAGATCTCAGACGCTCTCCTGGTCTTGACAGGTACGGTTCCTGGAGCAGCAGAACCAGGTGCTGCAGACGAAATGGGAGCTGCTGCAGCAAATGGATGTCGGCACGCGCACCACCAACTTGAACCCTCTCTTCGAAGCCTACATTTCCAGCCTGAAAAAAAGCGTGGATGGGCTCACTGCAGAAAGAACATCACAAGATTCGGAGCTGAGCAACATGCAGGATCTTGTTGAGGATTTTAAGAAGAAGTAGGTGGTGGCATAAACACTGAGGGGAAATACATATTCATGAGCCATTTAAGCATTTCCCCAACCAACCACTGTCTTTCCCTTGCGCTAGTGGTGATGATACGAGAGGCTCTGTACCTCTGTGAATTATCTGTGAATGTATTTAGGGTTTTAGAGATCCCTAAATATCTAATTTTTACCTATTTGAGAGTTAATTAATAGAACACTGTCTTCATATTTTTGGAATATTATAGTCTTAATTTACATACTGAAAGAGTGTGTAATGTTCCCAGAGAACTGGCTCTATTGAGTGAATTAAGAAGGAAAAGGTAAGAAAAGAAAACAAGAGGAAAATGAGACCTTGTTTAACTGCTGTGTCCTTTGGATGCCAACAGGTATGAGGATGAAATCAACAAGCGTACAGGTGCTGAGAATGATTTTGTGACAATTAAAAAGGTGAGCAAGAGACTGCGGTCGCTGGAGGATGGGTATTTGAGGGTGCTTCAGAACTTCGTGTGTTCAAGTGCACAGGCTGGAAAACAGCTGTGGGTGAGAACAGGGCCCTGAGAAAGGATGAAGTGTGTCTATTGCTGTTTCTCTTGAAACCAAGTGTATCTCTAGTTCAAGATTCTGGTGGTAATTTTTAAAGATGTTCTACACGTTTAAGAGAGTGTTTATCTGTAAACTACCTAAGGCCTATAGTTGATCATAAAATTTGCAGACACAGAAAGCTCTTCTAAAGAGCAGAGGAAGGAATTTGGATTTCCTTAGAATACCTTCTTAAAGATACTGTTTTGCATACAAAGGTTGGAGCTTTAAGGTCAGAAGCATAGCTTCTGAGCCTGATCCCTGCAACAGATTCAGTGTATAATCCAGAGAAATTCAGGAAATGTGGGATGAAGAGGCAGGATGGGAATGCTGAAGATGGTGGAAACACATAGGAATCATTAGCAGCAGTTCGGGATTGGGAAAACACAATGTCAAGAAGGAGGTCAGATTCTGATGGTCCAGGGGATGTGAGGAGTGCACAAGCGTGAAGCCCTCCAGCGGCACCCTGTTGCTTCATGGGGTCATAGCTCTAGGAAGGTGCCTGGGATTAGGGGTAGATGAGAGTGACCAACAATGGGTGGGCCAGTGCAGGGAACGATGGGGGAGGTAACCTGAGCTTCACCAGAGGTCTCTGACTGTCCTTGCAGGATGTGGACAATACTTACATGGCTAAGGTGGAGCTACAGGCCAAGGTGGACGTGCTGAGTCAGGAACTGGAGTTCACAAAAACCCTCTATGATATGGTAAGAAGAGTGCTCCCAGACAGAACCTCACTTTCCATCCTTCCTTCTTGACTGGTGGAAAGGTGGCTTGAACGGGGTTTGTGGACCAGCTGACTTCAGCTTGTCATCATTCCAGGTCACTTGGGGAGCTGCTAAAGCCTGGGTCTTGGGAGGGGAAAGGGGAAAGGGGAAGGAACTTTCTCCTCTGATGTCAGAGATTATCAAGATCAGAAAACTCCAGGATAACCTTGTCACCACCACAAATAACCAGCTCCACTTAGGCAGAAGCCTACTCTGTTCCCGTCCCTGAGCCTAATATACTTCAGGCCTCACAATATATTACTATCCACTTCTCACCCCAGCACACACATATGATTTCTGAAATTGCAGTAACTTCGAGAAATTTGCCATTGACAGGGACACTAACATAATTGACAGAGTATAAACCAGAAGACTCAGAAATACAGATACTTATCCCCCTGGTTCTCAGGAAAATCCAGGCCTCAGGATAATAGTTATATCATTTTTAATCCCATTCTGTGTAGTTTTAAGATTCTGTATACTTTTCTAAACACCAGTGGGATTCTTCCCCCTTGCCACTGGTTTTGGGCAGGGAAGCCATGACCAGCTTTTCCTGTGTGTGTGTAGGAGCTGTCCCAGATGCAGCAGTGTATCACTGATACAAATGTCATTCTGTCCATGGACAACAACCGCAACCTGGACCTGGACTCCATTATTGCTGAAGTTCGCTCACAGTATGAGGACATTACTCAGAGGAGCAAGACTGAGGCTGAAGCCCTCTACCACAGCAAGGCAAGTACTGGGAGAGGAAGCCAATAGCTCCTTACAACAAGCTGGGCTTTTACCTCCAGCCAGAAAACATGCAGGAATAGCATTAATGATTTTTGTGTGTGTGTGTGTGTGTAATGCATGTTAGGTGTTATTGCAAGTAAAGTGTCATAGGACCTTAAAGGCCCCAATCAGAAATGTTATCAGGTCCTTGTGGTGACATGAGAGAGTCCGATCCCCTCCTAGAAATGTCTCTGTGATGTATTCAGCTTGGCTGACCTTCCCTGAACCAGTTGTTGGTACTCCCTAACTCGAGTCAAAGCTGGAACACACACAGTGAACTCTCCTCCTCCTCTCATATCAGTATGAGGAGCTCCAGGTGACAGCTGTGAAGCATGGAGACAGTTTGAAGGAGATCAAGATGGAGATCAGTGAGCTGAACCGCATGATCCAGAGACTGCAAGGAGAAATCTCTCACGTGAAGAAGCAGGTGAGGTCTTGTCTCTAACATTGGTCCAGCCTGATGGGTTGAGTGGGCCTTGGGAGGAGTTGTAGAAGTTTAGAAGGTTGTATATATGTGTGTGGAAGTGAGTGTGAGAGAGAAAGAGAATACATAACATGAAGTTAGAGAGCCTTATAGGCAACAAAACTATGTGAAGCCATCAACATTTAATGTCCATCTATGAAAATGGGATAATGGATCTTTCTCCATTTTACTTTCTGAGAAATGACCTATGTTTGCTTCTCTCCCTGGGATGTATATTTTCTAAAAAAAGTATCTTTCCTTTAACCTTAAAAAAATGGGATAATGATTCTTGCTCTGTGTCATGAGTATTCAAAAGAATTATGAAAGTAGCTTTAGGAGCCAGTCAAAGGCTACATGAGGAGATGATGGCCCAGAGACAGCACTAAGTCTTAACACAGCTGTTCGCAACTGCTATTAATTGCAAGGAGGACTTGACCTCTCCGGAGGCTGCTGATCTTGGCTTTGCACCCAGAATGCCTCCACTCCCTCTCCTCCTGGCCATTCATGCTTGAATCTCTCTGCGCACCCAGAAACTTTCCTTCTCCCCCCACCCCCATAGTGTAAGGGTGTGCAAGATTCCATCGCGGAAGCTGAGCAGAAGGGAGAGCATGCCCTCAAAGATGCCAGGAACAAGCTCACAGAGTTGGAGGAGGCTCTGCAGCAGGCCAGGGAGGAACTGGCCAAGCTGCTGCGCGACTACCAAGACCTCATGAGTACCAAGCTGGCCCTGGATATAGAGATTGCCACCTACCGCACACTGCTGGAGGGTGAAGAGGAACGGTGAGAAGCGGCTGGGGCAGGAGGAGGGTGGCACGCTGGAACCCTTTTCCTTTCTTCCAGAACCAGGGCAGGAAGCAAAGTCATGGCCTCGTGCGCAAAGCAGAACTTCTCCATAGGGTTTTGAAGCCTCTGAACTGTCAGAAGCAGATCACCAGGCCTGCCAGCCAAAGTTTGAACTGCCCATGTTTTACCTAATAGTTGATCTTCACCAAACTTAATCACTGTTGTAGAACTGCAGATTTATTGATTGGGAAAGGCTAGTAAACTAAATGAAGTAAGCAGTCTTTTCTGAAAGGGAAAAAACCTAAAAAACCTAACCCACGATTAGGTTAGGTCTAGATAGTCCAAGACAGTGATTTCTAGGCCCATAGGGTGAATGCCACCCTCAACCTCTCCTCTGTGATCTGGAGCTGGAACCCAGCACTGGGAAATGACAGTTCTGATTGTGTGACTAGCTTGGGTGTGTTCAGCTGGGGAGATGTCAGATCTAGCTCTTTGTAGGATTTCAGAATGACAACCATTTTTTAATCTCCCCCAAAGAGAGTCTGAGAGCCTTACCAATGCTATTAGCACTCTAGTGATCTAACCAATGAATAGCAGATTCACTAAGGTGAATTTAAAGAAAAAATGTGCAATGAAGTTAGAAGTGGATTTAGGTTTGAGTCATTTTAGGTCAACAATGATGAGAGCAAAAATTGAGATAAATGGAGATATAAGACCATGTGTAAATAAATGTAGGGGCCTGTTCATCTGTGATCTGGCAGTACAGGAGAAAGTGGGGTTTTTAAAGACCTAGTGGCCAGTTTTAGAAGTGAAACTGTCGGTGGAAATTTTAAATCAACATGCACATGGAACTTAAGAGCTCTACCTCAAATGATCTCTCTCGGTTTCTTATAGGATGTGTGGCGATGTCAACAGCAATGTGACTGTGTGTAAGTAGTGGAGACCCAGTTTGTCTTATGGGGTAATATGTGGGGTGGAGGCAGGAGGAGGGAGGCAGAGGCCTTCAGAATATTTGAAGTAACTCCTTTTCTTTTTGCAGCTGTGACAAGCAGCAGCATGTCTTCAAGTGTGGCTTCAAAGGCCGGCTTTGGAGGCCATGGGTCTGGAGGAAAAGGATCCGGTTATGGAGGAGGAGGATACAGCTCTGGAAGTGGCAGCCACGGCTCCGGAGGCAGAGGATCTGGCTCCCGTGGCAGCAGTGGGGGCGGCTATGGGTCTGGAGGTGGCTCCAGAGGAGGCTCTGGATCCGGAGGAGGATACAGCTCTGGAGGAGGATATGGTGGCTCTGGAGGAGGATATGGCTCTGGAGGTGGCTCCAGGGGAGGTTCTGGTTCTGGAGGAGGATATAGTTCTGGAGGGGGCTCCAGGGGAGGGTCTGGCTCCCGAGGAGGCTCTGGCACTGGAGGAGGATACGGCTCTGGAAGTGGCACTGGAGGAGGATACGGCTCTGGAAGTGGCGCTGGAGGAGGATACGGCTCTGGAGGTGTTTCTGGAGGAGGATATGGCTCTGGAGGTGGCTCCAGAGGAGGGGCTGGCTCCCGAGGAGGGGCTGGCTCTGGAGGAGGATATAGTTCTGGAGGGGGTTCCAGAGGAGGCGGTTCTGGCTCTGAAAAGGGTGGTACAGAAGAAGGTTGTGGTTCCAGCGTGAGCTTCTCTTTCAGATAAAGGTGAGGTCTCCCCCTCCGACCCTCCCATTCCAGAATGTAGACTCTCTCTCTGTATCTTTAATCGACAGCAAGTCAAATTTTGCCATCTGAATGGCTTTTTGGGGAAAGGATGTCCATGTATGGTTTGGAAATATCTTCTCTCCAGACAAATTAGTTAGGTCCAATGCGGTCAATGTCTTAGGACCTAGGGAAGGATCTTCCATCTATGACCCATTCCTTGCCCCTCCTTGCCACCCTGCATTTCCCATTTGGTGGTCCTTGGGGTACCTTAGGGCCACCTGTTGATTTCATCTCAAAGCATCCAGTTTCCCTGGAAACGCCCATGCTGCTTGTGTATATAAATCCTCTTATTGACTTTGCTGTCTAATGTGTTGTGGTCTTGGTGTCTGCACAATAAACTTCATTTGCAATTCATATCATGTGATGTGTGTTTAATGCCACGTTTTGGCGCAAATGAACACCCATAATCTGTTATTCATCACTGTCTGACTTAAGACACCAGAGAACTGAGAGATTTGGAATTGATACAAGATGAGTTTCCTGGAAGAGGGATGTATTAGCTGTGGGAAATGTGAATTACAAGTCTAAGGGGATTTCCTCCAAAGTCTTTGAAAACAGGGATGAAGAGGCTGAGTGAGGGGATGGATGTGATGTTCTCAGAAACTGGGATGTGTAATATTGTCAGGATGTGGACATGAAGATAACGGAAAGTTTTCTAGGGGAAAAAAACCCCATACACCAAAACCATTATTTTCATGAGAAGTATTTTCCCACAAATTCTACCCATCCCTATTTTCTGTCACAAGTTTTGATCTGAGGCCCTGTGTCCTCAGCACAAATCCACTGATCCTCACACCCCAACCCCAAGCCACTGGAGCTTTCAAAACACCATCTCTTCAGCCTGACATGGGTGATGGCTGCATCTAGGTCCCTCTCATCAGGTGCCCAGTGGAAGGCTCTCAGTAAGACTCAATGGACCATCCGTCCCTGGAAAGCACTTAGAGACCAGAAATGGCCTTGACAATAAACAGCTTCCATCTTTGATAGAAAGGTATCCTGGTGGCACAATGGTTAAACTAGCCAGAGTTGGCCAAATGGGAATTGATAGCTTAGGTTGGAGCCTGTCAACTTTTATATATCTAATAGCCAGATACAGCAAAAATGACCCAGAACAACTCAGCAAGGAATATCTGTTATGTGCCACCGAATTGCTTGCAACTCATAGCGACCCTATGTGCAAGAACCCTAAATCCTGCTCTATCCTGTGCCAACCTCGCCGTCTCAAACACACTTACTCCCACCACCCTAATCACTGAATTGATCTATCTCATTGAGGGTCTTCCTCTCCTGCACCATCCCTCCACTCTCCACAGCTCAAAGGCATCAATTCCCCTTCTATCATTCCTAGTCATTGTCCAGCTTTCTGATGAATATCAAGTAATTGTAAAGACCATGGCCTGGATTAGGGGCACTTTAGTCTCCAGACTGACATTGTTGCTCTGTAAGGAATTGTATTATCAATCTAAAAGTATGGGTTCAAATTCTCCAGCTGCTCCATGGGAGAAAGATGGGCAACCTCCTCCCATGCAATTTACTGTCTTTGAAAACCTGCTTGAGGGTCAGCTGTGGGTCAATTCTGATTCAATGGGACACAACAACATCTGCTTCCAGGAAGATGGAATAGACATACTTTTCCTTATTTCTCCCATAAAATATAACTAAAAACTTACACTTTATATCAGAAACAAATATGACTCTTAAAAATGTAAGGGCCAAAACCACGCTAGCTAGGGATCATGAAACCCAAGGAACAACATAGTGGTGGCTCACTATTCCTTTTTGCCTCATAAATCCTAGACTTGGAACAGAAGACACCTGAAACTTGGAGACCCAAATGGGTACTGTTAACAAAAAAGCCTGTGAAAGAGCTTGCTTTTTCTAGCCAAACATCCTAGAAAGAAACAACCAAACAATACCAAAACCTTTTTTGACCAAAAACATTAGTCACACCAGCCAATCAGCATGGAAGAACTTGGACTTACCACCACTACCAGCAACAAAAGCTAATAGGTGAGCCTGGTCCCTCACTTCATCAATTGTGACATGGCATGCCAACTTTGCCCCATCCAACTTGGTGGTATCAGAAATAGCCAGTGGGGAGCTGACACTTCCATTGTGCAGTAACTAGCCCCTGACAACCAAGTATCAATGGGAATCACTTGAGAGCCTATATTTCCATTCCCAGCCGGAAGTAGTGAGCTGTAAGAAGAGGCATAGAGGACAGTCAGAACTTTTAACACTACTCCTCCTCATCATGTCAGTAGAAATCACATGGGAAGTGATAGTGAGGTTACTCTCCCACATGGCTAGCAATAACAAGGAGACTTCAGTGTGAATTCAGGCCAAATAAGAACATAAAAGTCTATTCCCTCCAGGCTATAACAAGGTGGTGTCCACACCCATATCCTAATAAAGCAATGCCAGAAGATGGCAACTAAAATAGAAGATTTAAATAAGACCAAGAATCACATAATACTCAATAATGACTCATAATACCAAGAGCCAAGAAGGTGTCAAACTGAATGGGGTGAGGCCATTCATATACAGGTGCCAACACTAATAAGATGAAGAGTGAGAATTTTCTGACAATATTTCAAAGTAACCTGCATAAAAATGATTTAATGAAGACAAACATTTTAGGTAAATAAGAAAACAGAGTCTCAATAAAGAGAAAAGATTTCAAGAGAGCTAATAGAATTTTAGAGTGGTTAAATGCACTAGAAAAATGAAAAGACTCAATGGATGAGCTCAAAAGCAGAATAAAAGAGACAGGATGAATCTGTAAAGTGCAGGAAAGAAAAATTGAAATTACCCAACATAAACAATGGAAATAAAATAGACGAGGAAAAAGAAAAAAAGAGAATAGAATCTCAGAGATCGCTGGGTCTTTGCGACAATAAGAAAAGAGCGAACATTTATGTTACCAAAGTTAAAAGAGAGAGAGAGAGAGTAAAGGAGAGCAGGCTGAAGAAGTACTTAAAAAATTAACAACTGAAAACTCTCCAAGTGTGGCAAACCTATAGATTTGAGAAGAACAAACCTATATACGAGTTCTAACACATACTGATCAAATTGCACAATACAAGAAAACATCACCAGATCCTGTGCCACCCTCACAATCTCCACTGTGCATAAGCCCAGTGGTGCAGTCACTTCAACAATCCATCTTATTGAGAGTTTTCCTTTCCTTTATTCAACCTCCCTTTCTCCTTTACCAAGAATGATGTCTTGCTTCAGAGACTGTCCCCTTCTGATGGCATGTCCAAAATATGTGAGATGAAGATTCACCATATTCCCCTGTAAGGAGAATTCTATTTTCACTTGCTCCAAGACAGATTGGATTGTTCTTCTAGTAGCCTACATGTTAATGGAGCAGATAGGATGAAACAACAGTCAAGTCTGGCTTCTATCTACTTTATCAAGGGGAATCGTCCCCATCAATAATGTCCAGCTGTTCAGTCAGACATGCCAAGCATGTTCCATATGCTCCATGCTTCTGCACCTCTTTCTACCAAGCACTTGAATCTGATATTTGTTGTTGACTCACAGACTTTACTCACAGTTGTGGTACCTAAAGTGGGGTTTGTTAGGGAAATAGGTTGGGAAGTGTGGAAGGCAAAGAATATCACCCAATGAAAATTAGGTTTACCCCAGTAGGTAAAAGTCCTGGTTCCAGTTCAGTGGCACAAATTCAAGATGCCTCTCGTTTCCTTAATCATCCAGCAAAGTTTGCCTCAAAATTGTTGTTGTTGTTATGTGTTGTCAAATCACTAGCGACATGCCTCAGAGTAGTTTAGCTTTTTCATCAACCATTTAGCAAGCAAAACTTTTAACTGTGGCCAGCATAAATACAAGAAGTACCAGGTTACACCTGGCTACAATCTATTTACAGCAATGCCATAGTCTCGCTCTAATATTTCCACCACTGTTGTAGCTGGAGTCCTACACTACAATATGGAAAGCACCCTCTCTTATATTAGCCTCACAGCTGTTGATGATTTGCAAGACCATGTGTCCAAAGTTAAGGTAGCTGGAGGCCAGCAGAAGCTAACATAATAGTTAGAAAACCAACTTTTAAACTAACACCACACTGTGATATATCCAATATTCGTTGTAAGCACAATTCAAAGACATTAATTATTTGGTCTTTCTTACTCATTGTCTAGCATTCACATACATAAAGGGTGATTGAAACTATCATGCTTTGGGTCAGGTGGTCTTTCCTTGCTTTTTAGTACTTTAAAGGGATCTTTGGCAGCAAATGTTTACATTTCAATGTGTAACTTGGTTTCTTGATTGCTGCTTGAGTGAAGAATATTGATTATAGTTTCTAGTAAAATTAAATCTTTGACAACTTCAATCTTATATTTATAAAATTATTATTTTTATTGATCTAGTTATTAGAATTTTTATTTATTTTGAGGTGTAATCCACACTGAAGGCTATAGTCTTTGACTTTCAGCCATAAATGCTTAAATCTTCTTTGTGTCATCTACACCCTGCCAGCTGTTAATGATGCTTACCCTATTCCTGATATCATATTCTTCTTCATATAGCATAGTTTTTCAGATTATTTGCAGTTTACAGATTGAATAGGTAATCGTGAAAAGATATAGCTCTGATGCACACCTTTATTGATTTTAAACTGTGCAATATTCTTTGTTCTGTCTGAATGATTGTGTCTTGATTCCACATTAGAATAGTTATTCATACTTTTTTTTGTGATTTACATTGTTGGATACCTTTGCACAGTCAATAAAACACAGGTAAGCATTTTTCTAATATTCTCTGCTTTCAATGAATATACACCTGATATCAGCAATGGTATGCCTCATACTATAACCTCTTCCGGATACAGTTTAATTTCTGGAAATTTCCTGTATGTACTGACTTTTCAATTATCTTATATAATAATAATAATACTTCATAATTCTGCAT